GGTCAGAGTTATGTTCGAGGCTTTTACGTCGGGTGAACTACTTATAATATGGGGTGGTAATGTGTTATTAGACGAGCTGGTGCTATTTTCTAAATTACTGGTGTTCACACGAACACGCTTTTTAGAATTTTGAACCATCGTTATTAAAGATCAATTATTAGTAACCAATAAATGAATATAAGCGAAAACACGTGCAAAAGCGTCACCTGATTTGAACGTACCGGTACAGAAGTATTACCTGCTCGTACAAATTGCCCATGTCGCCACAGTCCTACAGTGAAGCTGTGCAAAGTCAGCCAAGTGGATGTGGCTCCATCCCTGTTAACACGACTAGGTTAACAGAGCGGAGTCGGAAAATTACACTAAGTGAGAACTTTATAACCCCCATCTCCATAGAAGGCCATGAAACAAACAGGAAGGCCGAAAAGAAACGTTCACGACGTCGCAAGACGACAAAAGCGCTCCCCAAGAAGGTAGACGACTGCAAGGTCCACGCTTCTGTTGTCGAACAAGCAGACTCTGCCTTCGAATGTAGCTTTCGCAAGCGATAGGTACGTTGTAAACGCGACAGTGGGGTACCAAAAGTATATTACAACTTTATGCGTAAGAACCTATGCCCATGGTTCTGGTACATATGCCCAAGTTGCCGTCCTGATGCTGCCTCGCTTAGTCCTTTGAAAACTAAAGATGGCGTAGAAGTAGCAAGGAAAAACGTGATATGTTCTACTCCCACCAACTCGGAAAATAGCACAAATGCACGTAAACCGGGGATACCAAAATCCTCACCGGTTAAACTTGCAACTCCCACCATAACCGCTCCAGACACAGAGGCTGAAGCATCACGGTTTGGTGTCGCTGGAAAAAGACCCTTATCGTCTGCCAGTAATACTGGCCATGGCACTGAGACACGCAAAAATATCCCGTCGCACCGGACGAAACAAAACGGTCCTAAAGGGGATGACGAAGGTGCGAGGACCGAGCCTAAGTCCATGGTTAGTAGATCAAACTGTGTAATCCTCTTTAATGTACCAGACTGTAGTAGTAGTCTGCTGGAAGATAGGGCCCTATTTGATCAGGAACAGTGGTCCATCTTGTGTAGCACACTGGGTCTGGACATCCAACCAGTAAATCTATGCAGATTGTATAGAGGCATTACTGCACCTCAAGGCAAACCATCCCCACTGAGGGTAACATTGGGCTCTATCAAGGATGTCGAAAGTGTTACTGGCTTCTCAAGCCCTTTCTATAGGGAGGGCCTGCAACATACGTGTTAAGCCAGACAGGCCTTGGGAAGAAAGACAGATGGCGAGGGAGTCGCCAGAGCTTATTCCTTCTGCCTCCATGGTTGTTCGTGGCATTTCCAAACTGGTAACTGGGAACGCCTGCGAGAAGCATTGCCACGGTGTGCAGCAATGGAGATGGTTGGCATCCGAGATGGCCCAGGGGAGTTCAGGGGCTGTCTCTATTTATAGACTGCCTCAACCCACTCACCTTATGTCAATTAACACGCCACGTCTGTTGGCTGTCAAGTTCAGCTCCCGAGACCAGTTGACTACCGCTCTCCAAAGATGGTATGACACCAAGGACAAGGTCAGCAAACACATTCGCTTCTGCGAGAGCCGGCCTCGCACCCAAAGGAGAGAACAAAGCGTCGCCAAAAAATCCTCAACCCCTTAGTCACACTACAGCGGTGCAGCACGGACGATGATAGCCAGTGTCATCCAGGTGCTCCGACTGAATTGGAAGAAAAATACGCCAACATGCCGGTTCCTGGGAAATCGGCCAACTAGTTCGTAGGATAACTCCTCAGCCGATAGCTCACATCAAGTCAACTACCCCCCAATACGGGGAAGTGGTGAGACTGACTACCAGTTGCCTGTACAGCAATGTGAAAGGGCTAAGAGGCGAAATGGCTGAACTTGTACACCTACAATCACAACTGAACTCCGAAATCATAATACTGACGGAAACCTGGCTAACCCCTACGGTGGTAGACAGCGAAGTCAGTATAAATGATATGGTCCTAGTCAGGCGAGATGGGGACCTGAAAGAAGGAGGTGGAGTCGCCATACACGTCGACAAACAGCTCAGATATGTTCACGCGATGGACCCTCCCCTCACAGAGCTCCCTGACTCCATATGGTGCCACTTCACCGTTGGGTACTGCAAATATCTAGTGGGCAGCATTTATCGATCACCTTCATGTGGAGCAGACCAGAACCAGGTACTGCTAAATACAATTTCAGCGACTCAAGACATGGGTTATGATCAAATTGTCATAGCTGGAGACTTCAATGCCCCATCTCTTAACTTGGTGTCGGGAAAAGCCCATGATAGATTTGATCGAAATCTGCTGCATACCATCAGGAAGGCTGGATTCACTGAAAATGTCAGGATGGATACTAGATGGGGCCCTGATGGGAAGTCTTCTAGACTGGATTACGTGCTCACTAGTGACCAGCTACTAGTGGAAAACGTTCAGATCACGACTCCCATAGGTAGTAGTGACCACGCGGTCATAGTATTCGACATAGTCCTCCGCGAGCGCTTACAGTGGGACAATACACAGCCCTATCTGTGTTATAACAAAGCCAATTACACCAAAATGCGAAGACTTCTGTCTGAAGCAAATTGGCCTAAAAAATGGACAGAGCTAACAGTAGAAGAACACTGGAGAGTGGTAAAGGAGATCATTCACCAGGCGGTCTCAGACACTGTTCCTTTAGTCACACCAAAAGCTAGGAAGCAACGTTCATGGCTAAAAAGGGGACACAACGCCTTCTGCAGGCAAAGCGAAAAGCCTGGTTTGCGTGGCGACGATCGAAGAGTACATCGAACTCAGGAATCGATGTAACATACGAGTCCGGAGCGATAGAAGGACATTTCAGGGAAACCTCGCCAATAAGCTTCTCGTGAACCCCAAAAGCCTATACAGGTTTATGTCCGAAAGAAAACCGACCAACCAGGGAGCATGCAATCTAGTGGGTTCTGATGGGAAATCTCTTACTAGTCTTGAAATGGCAGAGACATTCAGCCTAGCCTTTCACAGGCAACTAAACAGTAACGAGGATATTACCCCCACAGAACACCAAGATTACATCGCAAAACCAACGCGCGAAAACCTGCTGGGTACATTTCAAATTACCCCGGCTATGGTACTTGTAAAATTGGGAAAGTTGGCTTCGGGAAAGTCTTCAGGTTGTGATGACATCAGACCATCTGTCCTGAAGCAGTGTTCAGAAAGTCTCTGCCAACCCCTAAGTGATCTGTTCCAACACTCCCTTGATGTAGGGAAACTTCCATGTGAATGGAAACGAGCAATCCTATCCCCTATCTTCAAGGGTGGTGACCGGCAGAATGCGACCAGTTACAGACCAGTTGCTCTACTTCCAGTGATATCGAAGATATTGGAAAGTCTCATTGACGACCACATGAGAAAATACTTCGATGGGACTAACCTTCTTCACGAAGCACAGCACGGTTTCAGGAGGGGAAGATCCTGCGTGACGAATCTTCTACTAGCTTGGAACGATTGGACACTATCCTGGGACGAAAAGGTACCAGCCCACGTGATCTTTCTCGACTTTGCGAAAGCATTCGACACAGTTCACCATGGTCTGCTCCTTCACAAAATAAGCAAGGCGGGTGTTTCTGGAGCACTTCTCGCATGGCTGAAAAATACTTAGGCGAGAGAGAATTCTGCACCAAAGTCAACCGCATCCGATCATCCTGGCACACCTCGGCATCAGGGGTTCCTCAGGGTTCTATCCTAGGGCCGTTGATGTTTTTGATTTTTATCAACGACCTGCCCTCCAACTAAACTGCTCTGCGCTTCTTTACGCTGACGACGTAAAGATTTGGAGAGCAATAAACTCATCGGAAGACTCAGATAGATTGCAGGCTGACCTGCAAACTCTGGGAAACTGGGCTCTGGCTAACGGAATGCCTTTCAACCTAAAGAAGTGCAAAGTAGTGCAGCTTCATTCCGGCAGGTCACAGAGTGTAAATTACACCCTTGGTGGCCAGAACTTGAGTTGTGTTCCATCAGAGCGCGATCTAGGTCTTATTCTAACAGAAAAGCTAGACACCAGTGGAAATTACTCGAGGGACGTCGCCAAAGCCTACGCAACTTTACACTTTATGCATAGGCAGCTGGGAGCTCTCACTCCCGAACTGTTCTTAAGGCTATATAAGGCATATGTGAGGCCACACCTTGAGGTGCATAATATCATTGCACCTCCGCTACTCAAAAGGGATGCTAACATTCTAGAAAGTGTCCAGAGACGAGCGACAAAATGGGTGATCGGCCTCCGCAACAAACTATACGGGGAAAGACTAAAGAAATTAGGTCTTTTCACACTTAGTTACCGTAGGCACAGGGGAGACCTCATCACCGTCTACCAGATCTTAAATGACCAGGCCCACCCAAATAAAAGCATCCTGCCATTAAGTGATTATAGGCTTCCACGAGGTAACCCGCTAAGGATAGCACACCAGAGACCAAAGACTCGAGTGCGATCACATTTCTTTTCGCTTCGAGTTTGGAACGCTTTACCGGCGGCCGTGACTACAGCGCCATCTGTGGAGATTTTTAAGCGGAAGCTAGACAATCATGCAGAAATGCAAGGTTTGTGTCTCAATGGCTTATCCTCATAAAACTTAAAACCACACTGTCAATGGATAAGCATACAAACTAATTCCCCATGACCTGTTCTGCCTTCTCTCACTGTACCGACTACTCTATCTTTTCCTTAGGTAACCTTTATTATTTCACTTACCTCAACCCATATTATCTACACTACAACCTATTACTATTATTATTATTACTATTATGCTTTTATGACTACACCGAATGACCAACGGGAGTTAGGTCAAACTCCATTCATGGCAGCAATACAGTCCTAGCATACTGCATACTACAAACCACATCTTGACCAATCCCCGCACCACTCCTCTTGGAGTCTACCAGAGTTAAAGCAGTCGAGTGGCGGGACTTACTACGCAGAAGCTCACCGAAGATCTGGAACCTCTACCTGACAATCAAGAAGCGAGCTCAAAGAAATCACTGGTTTATACTAGCTCGTAATCAGGATATTGGACATTGGATATAATGAATTTGTAGTCTGGTTTTTAAACACAACAGTAGTTTTTGTTCACTAATATCTCCATAACAACCGAGGTGGGACGCTTTCAAAAGTTTCAGTCTATTATGACCAATGTATAAACTAGACTTACCGATTGACACAAAAGAGGCCGCGGTTATTGAAGCCAGGAGGAGAAAAGAAAAAGAACGCCAGGCCCGCATATTTGATGCACGGACTCGTCAGATAGGGGTAAATTGTTTTTAATATTATGAAATATCCTCGATGGCAGATAGATGAAGAGGCTTTAAAACACCAGGTAGAAGAAAGAAAACGACAAGAACTTCGAGAAAAAGAAAGAGATTTGGCTTATGGTACATTATTTGTTCAAAACCATATGGTTTTTAGATGCTGATGCCGTTCGCAACGACAAAATTGCGTGTATACTTGAGAAACGTCAAAAGAGGGATGAAAAAGAAGTTGCGAAATGTCTCAACGAATTTAGATCCCTTCATCAACAACCTGAGTCAAGGAGGGAGTTCGACCTTTATGACCCGAATGCGTTAAAGTTAGACCGTCCTGCTCGTGTTTCAGATGATGATCCTCGATGTGGAGTTGCCTCTCTCCAAAAATTTGATGGTGAGGATCTAAACTTAAAAGCTAGAATGAAGTATCAAAGGGAACAAATGCAAGATTGGTTTGATAGGCAAATCGAGGAGCGAAACAGAGCTGAGAAGGCCCAAAAAGAAGCAGACAGGTAGATTGTGTATTACTTTTATATTTCTTTGATTTTATATGCCTGTATTCACTGTGAAATTCTACTAGGCAAAGTGAATACCTCGCATAGTTACCTTTTTATCATATTTATTACCCTAACGTAATTATGTCTTGGCAAAAGAGATTACGACACTGTAATAAATTATAAGTTATTTTTCATATGAAACAAGAAATCAGCAGACTATATCAACTTTTTCGCTGTCACAAAATAATGGCTAAAGTAGTGCTTTTTGGGTTGATTGGTGGGAAATAAGGGCAACTCTTGCTCGTCAGCATCTCTTCATTTGTAAATACAGAGAACAAATAAACAGAAAAAGATAAAGCCACATTCTTTTTCACTACATTCTCCACTGGCATCAGGTATAAGATTTCGAATTCACTGCTTGCACTTCATCTCTTAATAGCTATGGGCTTTTGTGATCCTGATAACAAGGTGTTTGGTGACTTCAAACCTTTTCACTTTCATGAACAACCCAGTATGTGATGCAGTATCAAAAAGTCTAGTAAAATCTGCACAGATTAAATTGATAGATTTTCTGTCATCTTTAGATCCCAGCCATCATTATTTGGCCTTGCGATTTATCAAGTAGAAGGAAATTCATCTAGATCCGTTAGCTGAGCTACCTGAGATAAACATTACAAATCCAAACCTCTGCCTTTTTATGAATAGTGTAAGGTGAATTCTGAATAGGTTGAGAGTTATTAGTTGTCAGGTCAAAACAAGTCACCAGTCGAAGAAACCACAGATTGTGGGTAGAAAGCACATGCAGGGACGAATTATTTGACTGAGACCCCCTGTATTCTGAAAGTAAGTGGTCGCAAACTTCAAGTGACATGTGTAGGGAACTTTATAGCGAGCTCATTAACAGAACAAATATTAGAAGAAAAATCCAAGTTAATGAACTGATAGTGTAACAGTATACCATAAAAAATACAGTTAATAAGTTGTGTAAAATAACGTTTACTTGGTTATATAGTTAAAGTCGACCGCTACAAATTAATAACATAATACAACGAATTTGTCACTGCTGGAGTCGCTTCTACCAGTAGAAGCTGTTCACCGGTTGTAGAACAGTCTTTGGATGAGGGCAAGAGGTTCCTACAAAGTCAAAAGTATACCACACGGTTAATAATGAAGTAAATGGACCAATGAGAAGGAGAAGCACTCCGAAGTTATCTATATTTTACAATGGATCCTTTTTAAACAAAAGTTGTGTACAATGTTTCCATTTTAACATCTAACAAAAAACTCTACAGTCATTCTGTTTCAGACTCCACATATGAATCGAAGCTGTCTACTTTTGCACAAACATACATTCTTCTTGTTGCCTTCGAAATTCTTCACTTAGTGATTCACTTTCTGTCTTTTGTAGCATCATAACATTCCTTTTCTCATATGTTTTATATTTTACCAAAGTGTGAGATCCAAAATGATATACATTGACTCAGAGTTCTACACTAATTGGTCAAACACCCATCATAAACGCTGGAAAACCTGTCAGGTGCTTTACAAATAAACTGTAGTGATGTTTCTTAATATTCTTCTTAGAGATAAAAATGCAAAGCTGATAAGGCATACAGACCTATAAGTTGGTAAATCTAGTGTATGATATTCTGTGTAAGTAGCAGTGAATATAGCACCGTTCAAGCCGTGTAATAACTTTCTTTTTTTAAGTGACAGTCTTAATAAAAACACCAAGTGAACAGTGAAGCAGATAGTGAGGTAGCACTCAATCCGGATAACCACATATTGATTTTTATCATGACTGAAAGACAAAAGACCTTAATGCATCTCTTCGGTGAACACTGCAGAACTTGCACTATTGTCGTCAGCGTTTCCAGTATTAATTCTGCACCCACTTGCCACTTTCACACACACCATGTTAGACGAAAAGCCTACTTAGTCTTCTCCCTCATTTCTACTACCGAACTACAATTCAAATCGTTGAAAGCTTGTCGTTTTCCATGCTAGTGTATATGTAACAAAAACAAATTTAGGTTGTTGAGTTGTAGTGGAGGTGAGATGCGTACTAAGGGGTAGTCATAACTACAGGGGTTTAGTGATATACTAATCTTAACGTGCGCTGCACTGTTTTGTTACCTCTTACAGTATGTAGAATAGGGAAGTTGTTTGTTCTCTGTAGGAAATCTAAAGAAAGAAAACTTAAGTTAATCAGATTTACAGATATTTGAATGAACACCATATAGCTTCAGGCCGTTCTCCTCAACCAAGAGTTTCTAATGCCACTGAAAATGTGATGCCTCTAAAATAAACCTAGATTGGGTCAACGTATTAGTCAAGTATTTTTGGTAATGACAACACCCTTTTAATATTATAGTGACTTTGTCACATTCTTTCTTGAGTTTATTCACATTACTTGATCTCAGAAATTGCTTCTAGAATGTTAAAACGTTGTTTCACGTATAAAATAATAATAATTGGCGTCGGTGGCACAGTGGTTAGGACTCTTGCCAACCATGAACATGGTCTGAGGTTCGATCCTCTGCCGACGCACACCTGATATAAATGGTCGGCCTGCAATATTTGGGCTATCGATATCACATGCTGAAAATTCCACCGAAAATACGGTGTGGAATCAAGCTGTAATAAAAAATACGGTGCTTGTAGAGTTTATTTTTACAGGATGGGGTTGTTGGCCTCATGCCCAACCTTCCCTCTTTGCCAGTTATATATATGTATATATATATATTGATTACAGCTTGATTCCACACTGTATTTTTGGTACAAATATGGAATTTTCAGCATGGATATCGGTAGCCCAAATCTTTCAGGCCGACCATAGATATCAGGTGTACGTCGGCCGACGATCGAACCTCGGGCCATATGCATGGTTGGCGAGCGTCCTAACCGACGCACCAGTTCACCAGATTTCATATTCTGCCACATAATTTCATATACAGACTTGTGCATATACATGGGGAGAATGCCTAGGGATTCTTCCAGCAATGAGAAAAATCAAGTTAAGAAAGGAATTCATTTAATGTCACACCATAAATGTTGGTGGATTCCATTTCATTTGAAGTTGACCTCTTTGAGGGGAAAATAATATTCTAATGGTTCCAGGTACCTTAAAAATTGCCAAACTATTTCAGCAGCCTGTTTCTAACTTATAAGGACGTTGCAATAATAATAATGATTTCCTTTATTCCAAAAACAGTACTTGTGATACAGAATGGAATTTTCAGCACTAATCACAATATTGCATCTAATTTCCTCAAATTATAAATAAAACTAATCACACAAAATTTTCCACACTTACAATAGGGGTAATGTCAAAAACGTGCAGCATATAATATGGAAATAATGATGATAATGATAACAGCTAAGGTAATAATAATAATAATAATACAAGTGAAATTTGCCGTGGGTTTGTTACACACAGTATTGTCAATGCGGTATAGAAGTCCTAGCATGTTTAAAAATATTGAATATAATGTTCTCTTTACATGATATGGTGAGGGGAAAAACAAAGATTACAGCAGTCATAGAGATAAGTTGGTGTTTGCAATTATGAGAGTAAAACAAAGAAAGAAGCAACAGGACCATAAATATAATAGAAATAATAAAAATAAAACTTGAAGGTATACACGGATGGATGGATGGAGGAAATTGTTTATTTACTAGATGAAAAAAGCTTAGTTAATTGTTTCCTGACACTATTTTCATCACATAAAATACGTCCAAGTATGGCATCATAGAATTTTTATACTTAGACGTGCGAGCATACAGTTTTCTGAAGTTACTTCTTGTTCTACCTGAGGAGATGCAAGGTGATACCTGAGGAGGGTAAAGTGGATGCTCCAAGTCAGACAAAATCCCTTTAGTAACTTTACCGCACAAAGTCAAGAGCCTATCGACAACGACGTTAACTATGTGGTTCACTGAGACAATACTCACCCTACTGACAGTCTTCAGTATTCTACGAATTGTGACATAGTCCTTTTTAAGCAAACCAGGAAAGAATAAGGGTGAGCAATAAAGAAGAATAGGTAGGATGCAAGAGTTTATGAACTGTAAGAGGGAGGAGGGGTTGAGTTATACCCGAGTGTCTTAACTTCTTAATGTAAAATGTCAGGCGGAATATTTTACTGGACATCACTAAGACATAGGAAGACCAGGAGAGTTTAAAAGAGAGAATAAATCCAAGATACTTAATTTCTGATTTAATTCCTATATCATTGTATCTGGTAAAGTGAATTCTTAGGGGAAGGGAGAAGGAGGGGATATCCTCGGCTATATAAATTTGATGGAATGTATAGGTCACCATCAATACTAAGTATTACGCAACCGAAAACAGTTGGCTTTAAGGAATAAATTACCATCACAATATGTCAAACCTCTATAAAGACTATATGATGAGTAATAGTTTCATCAAGTTTGCAATGAACGGAATGTCATTCACTTTTTAGAAAATATTATAAAGTACCACTTTGAATTTTTAGATAGGTGTATTGCAATAAAACGCCAACTACTTTTGGAAACCAAAGTTTTGCCATTAGATTTTTTTTTACAATGTATTGAAAAACTCAGTTGTCATGACAACTGTGAGAAGAAAACAAGAGCTGAGAAAAGACTATTCTTGTCGACAATCTCCCTATTAATTTTTATAATAATATGCAAAATATTTAAAAATAATTGTAATTGACAACAGGAATGTTTTTAAAATTTTACTAACATACTTTTAAACTGTAGTCTATTGATCTTAACAACTTGATATTGTTTAAAAAACATTATTGTTGTCAATAGCAATTATTTATTCAGATATTACGTATGTGTAGAGCTGTAGAGCTAGATGAGGAGGTTATCAGTAGGAGTATTATTACCTCAATCTTTTTATCTTCTAAATGTCTGAATGGAGATTTTTTTTTGCTGTATTTAAACTATGGGATGATATAACCAACTTGCCTTTCTTAGCGTACTGAAATTCAATAGACTTGAGCGTTTATATACAATGTCGGGAAGGTAGTGTTCAGTTTGTGTAAATGAAAAAAAATAGCATTTAACAAGTTCGTTACATTGTTTTACTTAATTTTTAGGTGATGATAAGATGTATACTGGAAAACTGGCTTCGTATCACTAGTGAAACTATAACCTTCTATTTTTCAATGCAGTTTGCTTCACCTAGTTAAGCTGTTAACAACAGTGATGTGAACATTCTGTATGATGCGAATGAAATCATTCAACCGTTAATTATTTTCACCTTAGTAACAATATAAAGAAGGACACATATACTTTTCAAGTGGTTGTTTTCAGGTATGATAGAAAACTGAATTCAATCAGAAAACCACTGAAAGCCAGAGAGTACTGGATGGCTATGTCGCCCTAGACTGGGACTCCTCAATAGTAGGCACGCCGGAAACTGCTGGGCATCGAACCTCGGACCTTCAGGTCAAATGGCGAGTCCGTTAACCATTCAGTTGTAGACTTCTAATTTTCAGGATTTAGAATTGATGGGTCACTGGATCCCATCCTAGTGGATGAATGGTAAATAAGCTCACCTTATAACCTGAAGGTCGTATGTTCAATCATCGATGGAATCATGGGGACTTACCGCTGAAGATTTTTACACCAGAATGAAACCAACTGTCCAGTACTCTCTGGTTTTTAGTGATCCTCTATTTCAAGTGGGTTCGTGACCAGACTTCAGACAGATTCAATATTTGTGAATAGTTATCTTGAACAAATTAAACTACTTTTGTTCACCGAAGAAATACTTCTTTGCAAAGACTTCATTTTGAAGCTGTACAGTAAGTTGTATTTATGTCTATATCACGATGTGATCTATCCTTTGGGTTTATCTACACATGGCCGAATTCAGTCATTCTCCACTCCACTTATGTAATAGCAGAAACTCTAAGTACATATTTAACTGTAATCAAAATAAGGTGATTTTGAGTGAACAATTGTTTCCGATAAATTTTTACTCAGTCTTTACAGTCATTTATAACAAAACATTTAAGCGAACAGTAATGCTGTTTTTAATTAGATCTCATCAGGCTTAACTCTAATATACATAAGTTTACAAATAAAAATTCAAATATAAACCAATCATGGTGTTTTGTCTATAGGATAATAAGATGGTGAATATAAATTGTGAAATTAGTCATAATAGTAGTAATAGTAATAATAATAATGGTCTTATCAATAATAAGGATGAAAAAGTGAGGCAATCTGTGATAACACGAATAATGAAAAACAGCATGATTAAACAAACAAATGCTCAGGTGGAAGTAGTGGATAAAGGTTAGTAAAAACAAATGAACCGATTAAGTAATGTTAGATTGTAAGGGAAGTAAATGAAACACATTTTTAATGAGAATGTGATAAGATTAAGGGATGATAAGAGAGGGGTTGAAAATATATAAGTAAGGGGTAGTGGAGAAGTCACTAGTTGGTTATGTCTTAATAGGCCAACAAGGGAGGGATAATGGCTGTACGAACTTCTTTTGAATGCATAGTTTAGGTTTAATAGTTCGAATGCCTATCGCCTCAGCTGTGTCCAGTAGACAAATACGAAGTCTATTGGAAAGATTCGATGGGATACAATGAATTACTTTGAAGGCTGTCGTTTTCTCCACTACATGACTACTATCAACTAAATGTGAGAAAATTGAGCTACGGATTGTTTTTGTCTGTCCTTTGCCAAACCACTATGGGAGATGTTCACCAACACGTTGGCTAAGCTGTCTAGTAGTACGCCCAACATAACTGTCACCGCAGGTGCAGTTGAATTGATATATACACATAGATGTGGCAAAACTATCAAGCTTATCCTTCGTTTGAGTCCCAATCATTCGTCGGCTAGAGAATGACAAACATAGGTGTGCTGCGTAAAATGTTCTTCGTATACTCCTTGAAAGTCTTTGGAATAAAATCTCACTTGATAAGTCACCATTAAATTGTAACTTAATAAATAGAGGCTTTTTACGTGCAGTTAGAGCCTCAGGTTTTTTCTCTGATGCTTTCGTATTATTATTATTATTATTGTTCCCTCGGGTTCCCAGTGGAAAATAGGGCTTCAACTGCATGTCTCCACTTGCTTCTGTCTTCTGCTGCACTTTTCACCTGCATCCATGTTAGTCCATACTCTTTCAACTTCTCTCTCTTCACACGATCTCCTCCATGTCATTCTTGCACTGACGTCCCACTCGCCGCTTCCCTTTCGGCCTGGTTCCACTCGAGAAATGGCCTGACTCGCGCGCGATCTCACCCAGCGGCCTCCTCAGCCAGTGTCCAGTCCATCTTCACTTTCTCCTGCATATTTGTTAGTTGGCCATTGGTTCTTGTTTTGTTTGTTTGTGCCCATAGTTTCTTGTTGGTGATTCTTTCCAGCCCGGCCATCTGATCTTCAGTATAGAGAGAAGACAGTTAGTTGTTGATAAAGGTCTGCAATAGCCAGCTTGTTGGAAATATTCTTTGTGATTTATTATTTTTGATGCTGAGCGTTGTTGACCTCCACACAGACTTGAGAGTAAGGAAAGCTTGTCTTGCTTTCCCGTTGATCCTTGCTTTGATATCCTCGTCAGTTCCATCTGCCTGTAGTTGGAACGATGATTCCCAAGTAAGTAGTTAAAGGAGGTTGTTTCTTTCAGGTCCCTCCCACTTATGCGGGCTGATTGTTGTCTGTTGTTGTTGTTGTTGCTGCTGTTGCTGTTGGCCAGGAATCTTCATCACCTCTGTTTTATCTATGTTCACCTGAAGTCCTATCTTTGGTGCTTCTTCTGTCAACTTGTTGCTTTTCACTTGCATATCTTCCAATTTGTGGGAAATCAGACATAAAGACATCATCGGCGAAGTCCAGATCCTCCAAGTTTTTCGTGTGGGTCCATTCTATGTCTGTTTCCTCATTGCCCGCTATCTGTCGCATTTTCTTTATTCTTATCACATGTGTATTGACTGAGCAGTGTTTAGTGTCGCTTAATGCTTTTTCTTCTGAAATATAAAAACGATTATACGCCTAGAGATGGCAGTCAGTGAAATAGGAACATTTCTTTGGTTATATTTCAAGAAGCATGTGTGTGTGTGCGTTTGTGTGGTGTCATTTGATGTTGCTAATTTCTACTTCTGTTTATTGTTCTACACAGAAGCATATATAAATATATATCCTCTGTTTTTTAAGCAAATGAATCATTTATTGAGCTTATCAATTATCATTTAAAATGCGGATAAAATATCAATCACTTCTTTAATTATTCCACTAAGTAAAAAAAATTTCCGATTTAAAACTGTCTGAGTGACTGACTGGTTTCAACATAGAACAACTTTGCACCGATGTGTAGCAGCAGTTCGACTCGCCACACTTCAGTCAGCACACAAAGCCACAGATGAAGAAAAAAGTTTGAAGAAACGCAAAATAAACACACTAAAAGATATATGAGGCAAAAGAATAGTAATAACGAAGAAGAATACAGTTCTATTGAATATTATAAGTCAGAAGGAGTGGATGCATCTGCGCCAGCTATTGAGAACGAGGATTTTGAGCCATATCACCAATTGTATTCAGCCACTGGTGTTTACCGTTCTGAAGACCGCATCCAGAAAGTCTATATCTTCCTATGTGGCTAAAAATAACTGTTGTAGATTTCATTGACTGATGAAACTATATTTTGGTTAGACTATTTCTAGCCAACTCTTTTCTAACCTGAACCATCCATATCAGTCAGCTAACATTGACCGCCATCGAGAAAGGCGATGACTAGGCGTGCATTCGTGACACATGTCCTAATCATCTCAGTGGGTGTAACTTCACAACCTGATCGACTGATTTCCGTTACTTACCTAGCACTCGACCGATGCCTAACGTCAATAGTACTCACTTTGTTATACCACTTCACACGGGAGATAGAACGCAAACACCTATGATCAAAGACAGCTAGCCAGGCTTTTCATGTCTTCCACTGTCAGTGGTCAGGTCTCACAGCCATAGAGGAGAAAGGAGTGGGCTACTGAGCAGTACAGACGCCATTTAGTCGACAACCAGCTGGATATCACGTCTACGCCAGAGACGGCGCAAACTGGCATATACGAAACTAGCCCTCTGTATCCGTGCTGAAATTTCGTCAGCGATCAACCCTTTGGCTCTGGCTGATAGTACTTCCTAAATAAGTGAAGTATTCAACATGCTCCATCAACCACGTCACTCCTTATTTATGAGCTAGGAATCATTGTGGTCCAGTCTTGTAGCATCATCTTACATTTGGCGGGAGCAAATCGCATGTCAAACATTTACAGATTGCAGCTCAAGGTGGTCAGAAGACTCTGTATTTTGTCAGTGTGTCATTTAAAACTGTGCAAATTATAATATATCTTTTAACTGTTTTTATCTGCACTTCAACAGGCTTTATGATCTCAAACGACGTGAACTAGATCAACGTGCTTGTGAACTACAAAAAGCTGAAGAACAATGTCGACGAGCAATAAATATTGCACTTGAAAGATATAATAAATTACTAAAAGAGGAAAATGATCAAAGAGCACTTCTTAAGGCTAAACAAACACAAGATGATAATATGACTGAAATATGCAATGCAATATATGGTGATTTTCTCAGTGAAAATCCTGCTCAAGCAATCTCTGCTTTTGGTAGTCATCGTGTTATTCCAGATCGATACAAGGGTATGACACCAGAACAGAGAGAAGAAATACGCAAAGCTCAAGAAGAACAAATAAAAGAAAAAGAGGTACCACTATGTCTTATAAATTTTACTTAATTTCTTTGGTATCGGCGAATCAATGGTAGAATGCTCGCCGACCAGAAATGTCGTCCGGGGTTTGATTCGCTTAGCCTCGCTCAACAGGTGGTAAAGCACATATAGAGGAAATATTTAGAGCAAGGCTAGCAAACTCACCCTGGCACAATAACAACATCACTACTGAAACTTGGAGAGGTCCAGCCTGAAGACTTATGTTCCAGTAGGAATGCAGAGGAATGAAAATAGTCGAATCTAAGTTTCATTTAGTCTAGGTCTTGGGAAATGAGTAATCTAGCAACACTTTTTATAGGTTGCCACTGATATACATTCATAAGTTTTGTACTAATGCTACTCCATTTTGAAGCTCGTTTCGTTTCCCTGGCATTCAAGAGTGCGATGAATTTCTGTAAAACCTGACTGAATTTCTTAACAGTTAGTGAAATAATGCAGAAATTATCCCCCCAGATTTTCGCTAACTGTAACAGACTACTGGCGCACTAATAAGTAGGCAAAATTTATTCATTAAAGTTTTGGCTGATTTGTTATTATGACGAGTAAATCAATAAGGTGTTTAACGACGATTGTCAATGTATTCGATTTTGTTTATGTCATATCATTAAACTTCAATCTATTTAATGGATGCTATCGTGGTAGTATATCAGGCTATACTTGACACTATGAAAATTTAAAATGTAATGTATCATAATATGACAATTAAGTATACCTATTCAATTGATTGTTTAGCTCTTAGAATACACTTTCACTAAATTTTAATGTTTCTGTTACAGCGTGAATTAGCAAGACAGAAACAAGAAGATGAAGAATGGGACAATCAGAGATCGAGATCAGCAAGGTTGGGTTTATTATTAGAAAGAGAAATAGAACGATCAACTCGTGAAATGAATCAAAAAATAGCTGAACAAAATCTCAAACTGGCATTTGAACAGAAATCGTTTCAAGATTATCTTAATAAAGAGGTAAGCAGGTTGTAAAAGTTTCTAATCATAGATAGAAACGTATTTCGTAAGCAAATCATTATAACATTGATTTTATACGCGTATATTCATATTTTTCTTGAGACCATGAAATTCATTTACTGAACTTTTCCCATAATAGGCTTTTAATTTTTATTTTTTATTTGGTACACTTGTGTTTTCTGAGCTTGTTGGCTTAACTGCGAGGCTTTTATCATCTTCCTAGGCAATATCACCAGAGCTAACTCCCCTATGAAGTTAGTTTATAATTTTTTTTGATATTCTTCTCTCCACTAATAGACACTAACATAGATAAACTGAAGTCATTTCGTAGGTGAACTTTTATAAAACCCATCGAAAGCTAATATCAGTGTGTAATCAGTGTGTATTTGCAACCCTATAAGGATAACCAAACTCTAAGTACAGCTTGTTAACCTTTAACCGGATAATGGATGTCATTTCGCTAAGTAAGAAAAGGTTATGGAATTTAAAAGAGAACCGTTCACAATTCAGTGAGGTAAAAAAAGGAAGCCTAATGCCATTGTCTTCAACAAATTCCAAAACATTCAAGCTACAAGATTGAGTGATTTTACTATCTGGAAGTGTAAGCATCGGTCATACAACAAAGTGGTAGTCTACTATGTATTCTGTAAGATTTCGTTAGATGTCCGTGTTTAACAACTAAAATTTACATTAAGGCAGTTAATCCATTTGTCCCACCGACACGGTACCCTGTACTAGTAAGTTCTAGTGAGAAGTCGTGACCAGTGAGGTCCATTCAGATGTCACGTGTGAGCATGGATGTCCCACCTATAACAATGGTTAGGATCGCGCTAAATCACGAATTGGTAGAAGTTAGAATTCATGCACTGGCCATTGAATTAGGTCCCAGTGGCTGAATGGTATCCGAGTCAGGTTTTCTTGTAACCGGAAGGTCCTGGGTTCGAATCCTGGTGTGTGGGTGCGCACTTCCGATGATTCCCAAAAGTAGGATGAAATAGCAGCTGTCCAGTACTCCCTGTGGCTGGTTTTCAATGGTTCTCTGACTGATATCAATCTGTGACCAACTCGTAAAAACCATGTTGTATCATTTCTTTTAAAATAAAATTTCCATTGATTCAATGTTTATGTAGCGATTAGAGAGAGGGTCTGAGAGAGGGTCACTAACCCCACGACTAATCTTCTCCCCTCCTTTAATGTGGATCAGAGATACTGTTGAGAATTCTAAATTACGATGATGATGATAATGATGATGATGATGATAATGACAATAAGTAAACAATAAAATAGGAGAAAAGGTGAAGTTGAATAAAGTAGGCCAGAAAGATTATTAGGACCAAAGTGAATAAAAGGCGTTAAAAGGATATTTTTGAATAAATAGATTGTGTTTGTCTTCATGTATAGCTAGTACTACAACAGTCCACTCCGTCCTCCTCTATGCCTGTGAGACCTGGTCATTGAAAGTGGAAGACATGAAAAGATTAGCTGTCTTTGATCATAGGTGACTGCACTCTATCTCCTGTGTGAAGTGGTATAATAAGGTCAGCAATATTGAGGTTAGGCGTTGAGTGATAGGTAGGTGGGAGGGGAAATCAGTCGACGAGGCTGTGGAGCTGCATCAACTGAGATGGTTAGGACAGGTGTTACGCATGCACGCCTAGTCATCGCCTTCCTTGACAATGGGCAATGTTAGCTGACTGACATAGGATCAGGTTGGAAAAGAGCTAGCGGCGGTCAAACCAAAACACGGCGGCAGTTAATGAAATCTACAACAGTTAGTTTAAGCCAGTCACGTAGGAAGGTGTAGACTTCCTTCCTGGTTGGGGACCTTGGGACGGTAAAAACTAATGACGGGCTGGAAACAATTGGTGATATGGCTCAAAATCATTCTCAATGGCTGGCGCAGATGCATTCACTCCTTGTGACTTCTGATTTCCAATGAAACTATATTGTTCTTTGCTATTACTATTCCTTTGTCTCACACCTCTGTTTAGTGTCTCTATTATGCATTTCTTCTACTTTCTTCTCTTACTCTGTGTGCTACATTGGGTGTGGCGACTTGAACTGCTGCACATCTATGTAAAGCTCTATATCGAAAACAGACAGACAGACAATGGAAAGCAAGACTTTTTATATAGGTGAATTTCTCCAAGTAGATTGACATAAAAAAATCTACCACGTCCTGTCTATAACTATAAATACTGTTGGGAAGCATAAAAATGAATTTTGGTTTGACATGTGCTACTTATAAACAGATATAAGTAGTGCTAAAAAGGCTGAAGGCTATTGGCAGGAAATCCTGAACTTACATTGTGTGTTGATTAGTATTCATCAGTCAGGCGTATCTGAAACCTTGAAGGAATTCATGTTCCCTTTGGGATTCAAACCTGTGTCATCCACTGACATACTTAGAGACGTTGCTAATGAGCTATTCGGGCTGATAACCAAACTTCTGTAGGATTGTAATGAATAAATTGACTGGTAGTCATGGATTAACCAAGGACTAAGTACATGTTATGATTTACATCTCTGACTTCAATACTTGGTAACGGGGGTTCAAATCCTAGAAGGGACATGAATTCCTCTAAGTTTTCAGATATATCTTGTGGATGATTGCAAACAAGCTAATTACGTTAGTCTGAAGCTTACCTCCGATTATCTCTAATAACCATCTAACATCATTTCAGAGTGTACTGCGATGACGAGACACATAGCTTACATACAGACAACCACGGACATCAATTCGACTAGAACAACCAACGTTCAAATATTATATTAGACAGAGGAAACAACAGGAATGCTGGAGAATTTTTAGAAGCCCGTCTGGTATTCCAGTGAATCATCAATCAATAGACACATCGAGATAGACGAAATTTACCAACCGATATGAAGGAAACCTCACACACAAAGGATCAAAGTTCAAGTCAAAGAAACAATCAGTTTCAATACCACAAGTAGCCTAGAAGGTGTGAAAACACAGAAAAACAACTGATCACGTCCAAGTTCACCCACCAGGAGAGATGATTAATAAACTCGTGGAGAAATCTTAAAGCTCACTTCATCAAATTGAAGTATGCGTGCTGAATATGTCGCCTAGTAGGGCGATAAAAGGCTTCGCAAATTAACTATCCAGCTCAGAGAACACAACCACATCAAACTCATCCACCTGAGCTACAAATCTTCTCCATCATATCGAAATAGGTGGGTTGTCAGTGCCAGGATGACATAGAAGTGATCGTGTGTCGAGGGAGGGGTAGATGAGAGACTATGGGCACACTTGGACCCAGATAAAGAGGACAGCCGAAAATAGAACAAAGTGGAGATGTGTTATTGAAACCCTGTGTTCTACTTGGAACTCAAGGGAACAGTAATAATGATAATATAAAGATTAAGGATGGTCACTTGTATACAATTTTTGCTTTTTTTTATTAATACTTACTTTTAATTTTCACTAGTTAGCGTTCTTTTTTTTGCTTTTGCCCTTTTTTAGTTATATACAAATCAACCTACTGCAGATTATTTCACACAGTTCAATACAACTTCACGTTGAAAACTGGAATTCATCAACTGCTGGGATCCCTGTTATTATTATTATTATTATTGCTTTTAATACCAGTACTAGTGTCAACACTGCTGATCCATGGTGCTTGGCATCTATTCAGTAGAATTGTCTTCTTTACGTTTATCTACTATGTTTGTGTTTTTACATCGAAAGTTTCCTGACAAAAATAGACAAATGAAAAAGAAAAAAAAAGAGAACCCGACAAATTAAAACAAAACGAGGAGATTAGTGGAATAAAATCTCCCTTAAATGACCAGAAATTTTATTTTTCCCCTATGGTTTTGCAATAATAAATATAAGAACTGCTGACTACTTACACATATATCATCTTTAGGTGTCTTAAAGGTGCATGTATTAGGAACTATTCTATTGACTATTGTTTTTCCATTTCTTTTTGTGTGCTTATTCATAGGAGAGCTTCTTCTTTCTACTTTGGATTCTTTGTTCAGATTACACTTCATGTATTCTAGGAATAAGTGAAAAATGCTGCTATTATTATTATTATTGTTATGCTATCACATTTATATATTTCAGTGTTTACACTGCTGGTTCCCTTTCTTTTTACTATTGTACATGAAATGAACAAAAGTACATTGTAAAGCTAAATAAAATAAAATAAAATCCTTTTGAAATCCATGATATGAGATTGATTGTGGTAGAGTACTCACCAGCTACACACACACACACACACGTGGTTAGGATTTGACTCCTGCTTGAAGCCTTCTTAAAATTCGTCTAGTTTTCAAACTGGGAAGTGAGACCAGAAAAGAGGGAAGGTTGAGCTGGCAACCCCAAACAGCGAAAACAACAACGCTGCTACTAAAACTGCATGCTTGAAGCCCTGTAGTCCACTTCGAAAGCGATCATATGTACACACTTGTGAAGGGTCTTAGTCTAGAACAAGGCTGACTGTTCATTAGCTCTTTTTCGATCTTCAGTGGTTCTCTTACTGAGGTCAAATCTCTGCAAGCGACCATTGGAAAACAGGAAATCACAACACTTTTATTGTTAGAAAACGTCAGCTGGTATGGGAAGATAAATGATTTTTCAAGATAATGGATACTGAACAAAGAATACTCTTTCCGATAACCCTTTCATCATCAGGTTCTACAGTTATATATACATTATAGTCAAGGAATATTTTTGAAATTTTTAATTTCAGCTTGATTCCACACCGTACTTTATGCTACAGGTATGGAATTTTCAGAATGTGATATCGGTAGCCCAAGTTTTGCAGGCCGACCATAGATATCAGGTGTGCGTCGGTAGGGGATCGAATCCCGGACCATGTGCATGGTCGGCGAGAGTCCTAACCACTGTGCCGCCGACGCACAACATCTTATGTTGTTTAAATAACATCGAATCAATAATTTTGATAGATTACAGCTCAATAGCATTGACATAACAATACACACTGAATGCCAGAAAAATTAGGAAAGATAATATTACAAATTCATGAATTTATAGTCTCTACTACAGGCTAAGGCAGGTCAGTAGTGGCTGGCTGGACTTGCTTCTTTTGAACACAAAACACTGGTTGTTTGAGGCGAATTGCAATAGCCTCTGCTGTTTGGAGCATGCGGTGCTTCAATGATGAGTTTGGGAATTTATCAGGCACCTGCTAGATGATGATAGAGAAGGATTCTTCAATGCTGGCTGGCTTTATGGCCAGTTTGCACCAAATGGTCCGATATCGAACTGTTAATGGTTTTAACTACTATAACTTTACTTGGCCATATTGAAAGATGTTCTCGAGTGAGGACGAAAAATCAAGTTCCTAGAGCAACAGTAAAGACTATAAATTCATGAATTTGTAGTATTATCTTTCCTTATTTCTCTGACATTCAGCTTATTTTATGTTGATGCTATTTAGCTGTAATCTATCAATATTATTGATTCGATGTTATTTAAACAGCAACATTGATGTTGTTCATAACACTAATTCATTCATTCACTATTATGGATGAATATATAACTGTAGAACCTGATGATGAAAGGGTTATCGAAAAGAGTATTCTTTGTTCAGTATCCATTCATTTGAAAAATTTTAATGGGCGTTTTTAATCAGATAAGTGATTATTTATGCCTTATTGTACTGTGAATATATATTTCGATAATCTTGCTTAGACGATTTATTGCATGTTTTACTCAGACACAGATGAAGAAGAGCAGTTACAACAGTATTTCAGTGACATGTATATTGTCACATTCGAAAACGGTTGAGACTATAAATATCAACTCCCTCACTAAAAACCAACGCATCATATATATATATATATATATTTATAATTAACTAACTGTCCAGACTGACCAATAAATCGATGTAGTGCAGCAATAAGTGATTTCAAATAAAGTTTACTAATAGCATAGCGGTAGGGCGCAGAAGTATATACTTGCCGAATAATTTTCAGGGACGATAAAATACAAAACTCTTGCATTGAAATTTCCACTTGCACGAGTCCTCTGTATTATGTTTCTTATGCCTTCCACTTATGCTTTCTTTATAGTCTCATAAAGATCCCTTATTTCTTCTCTACACAACTTAATCCATCCCTCCGCCATTCAAGATTCTTGAAGAAAGCTGTAAACTACTCTTAAATTATTGTCAGTACTACTCACCACACTAGTTAATCTCCTGACAGAACAAATGTTCTAGGCGTAGACGATCCGAATTTCTTCGTATTACTGGCTCTTACTGTGCCATGGTGCAGACTTCTTTATCCCATTGTATCCATCTCTGAAGTTGACTAGTGTTAACACATTACTGGTTGTCACCTCTTCTGATGTATAAACATAACCACACCCGTCAGTGACAATGTATGGTCTTTCTCACTTTGGACAGTGTTCTCATGAATGTAGTCTGACTCAAAAAGTTCATTTCGCTCCTCTACACTCCACTAAGTTTCTGACTTCAAAGGTTGTACACATCTTTTTATCTCTCTGCTCGAATTTCTTAGAGTTAAAACATTACTACTTTTTTGGTGAGAGCTGGCTGTTGGTCAAAATCGGTGGACAGTAATTTACGTCAATGTTTATGTCCCCAATATTGGTCGTGAGAAAAAAATGAGAACAAAGGCTTTCCGTAGGCGGATATAGTTAGCATATAGATGATCTGACATTCAAGTAACAACCACAAAGAGCTGCAAGGTTAACTTTGTGTGAGAAACAAACAATCAGAAGACTGTGTTTTTCTGCTAACAATAATCTATTATATATACATGAAAATCTATAAATATGTGTTGATTTCCATAATAAACGATCTGTTGCATGGCCCTATTCTTCTGTTGTTACACTTTTACAAAATAATCGTTTGTTTAAAATTTCTTAACATTCGTGAAATAATTCAATACAGCGTAAATATATCTAGATTGTACTGCTTCACTTCTTACTGATGTTATAATATATAACAAATAATTTTAAAATCTAAAGATGATCTCGCTATAGTGTGTTTGATCCCTGATTTTCTGCACTGCATATTACAGAACACAGCGAGCCGTCAAGGAGATGAGTTAGGCTTCTGGAGACCACCGGATACACTTTTTTAAACTGACGCCTATCCTTCCCAGACGCATAACATCTTCGCAGTTAGTTTCACAGTCAAGCGAGCTTCTGGAATTTTCTATGAATGAGACAGCCGTCTTTTGCGGATGACCTTGATTTTGATTGGCTGTCTCCAGAGGTTGGTCAACAGCAACACAAGGAGACGCGATGATAGGATAATCACTGAAGACCATCACTCCTGGTCAAGAACCCTAGAAGAGACGATCATTTCATTCATAAAGAGAAGGATGATGAAAGGTTCTCAGCTAAATGATACAGCTAAGAGAGCGCAACAACACTAAAATCATCCACCTGAGGTAAACATTTTCTCTATAAACTCAAATTCCTATTTTAACTGTCGTTTAATGTTTTCACTAATAACCGTTTAGGACTCAAGTGAACATTAAAAGGCGAAACTACCAATAGAACAGAATAAATAATAAACCCAAGTAGAAATAAATGGAGTTACTTAGATTTGAAAAAATATTATCACTGTTCTTCATCCTAAATTGCTTAGCTTTTTCCAGGATGAGATGGGTTGGCCATTGAATGCAGTAGTCAAATTTGTGGGAGACCTTCAGTTTATTATTACTACTCCCTTGGGCTCAGAATGGAATATAAAGCTTCAACAACACATCTACACTTCACCTTGTACTTTACCGCCTTCTTTAACTGGTTCCACGACCAGCTGTAGGCTTTCATCCATGTCTCCACGTCATCCTTAGACGCCCAAATCATTGTTTCCCAACTAAGTCCCACTAGACAGTCTAGCATGCTATGCTATTCAAAATTCTCCATAGTGTGTGTGAGTGACTCACCTCTATTTTCTTCGGGTTCTTGGTTGGTTCGTTCCCGGAATTCGTTTTTACCTGCTTACTCATTCTAGCCGTTCATCTGATCTTCAGTATGAAGCCACAGAAGACAGTTGTTAGTGGAGGTCTTCAGCAGTCTGTTTAAAAATGCATTTCTTGACGTATGCACCAAGTCTCTGAATCGTACAGAAACACTGATCGACTTGACACTAGTAATGAAAATCTGAATTTCCTTCTTCACATGCTAAATGCAGTAAATTTTCATACTGATTTCAGAACAATGAAGGTTTATTTTATAAAATTATATTTGTAAAATCTCAGCGAAATTGAAATGATTAATTCCAACGTTTCGTTTGGCAATCTGGTCCGAACTTCTTCAAGGAAATTAATCAAAATTAACATAACCGACATATACTGCATATACACATATATTTTAACAAAAGTAGACTAATTTTGAAAGTCTGAGGTCAAATTTTTGATCACTCTTCATACAGTTTTTGTTTATTATACCTGTTGATACCTGTTTAATGATTCATATGATAGGATAAACAATTTTAAAAACAAGAGATGTCCTTTTATATATATAAACATACAATTTTGTTTATTATACATGTTTATGCCTATTTCATGGCTCATGATTAGACAAAGTTTTTAAAAACAAGAGATGTTCCTTTTATATATATAAGCCTCTGCTTTGTTAATTTCGATTAATTTCCCTGAAGAAGTTCGGACCAGATTGCCGAACAAAATGTTGGAATTAATCATTTCAATTTCGCTGAGAATTTACAAATATAATTTTATAAATGTCTACTTCTCACTCGGCGCTCAATTATTTTGCAACTCTCCGGTCAAATCTTGATCACAGATTATATGAATGAAGGTTTATCTTGCTTTTCTGATTATGCTTTTCATATCTTCAGTTTGCACCATCTGTAGCTGAAACAATACTCTCTAGACAAGTGAAAGATGTGATTCCCTTCAGATGTTTCCTGTTAATAGTGATCGGCGCTTGTTGTTGTTGTTGTTGCTGGTCAGTTAACTTCCACACATATTTTCCGATAATAAGAGGATAACAGAACCAGCTGTAACACCTGGTAAATAAATTATGGACCAAGACGTGCTTTAGAATATTTTGCATATTAAACTGAACTGGAATTCAGTGAAGAAAATGATTTAAGAAACTTCTGTTCACAAGGAAAGTAATTGTCAATTGTCTGTCTGTCTGGATTCAACATAGAACTTGGCAACGAAGTGCACCAGTTCCAGTTGCCACGTTCCCAATAGCAC